ACCGTCAAAACGGTTGACAGGGGCGAGGGACGACAGGGATGAAGAATGGACGAATTTCCTTTGATCTAAATTCCTAAATAATAGGAACGTGCTATAATCCCAAATCCAGCAGCCGAGGCACTACGCGCTGGAAAGGAGCATACTAATGACAAGTTCCAAAGCCATCGATACGCATATTCCCACCCGAAGGTGTCCAGAGCTCCGGCAGTACACCACCAGAACCAAATGACCATAGGCGCATTGAGACATCCTGACATCCAGCCACAAATCCCCATTCATCGGCCGCCAACGTGTGCACCTGGTTCACAACATGACCAGATACTGTCGCACGAAAGCTTCCGCCACCAACGCAAGTTGCAAGGTCAGACTTCGAAACGCCTGCCTGGCTAGTCCCGTCGCTCGGCCTCTTCCCATCGCTTGCAGCCACGTCCCACACGGCGACCATCTGGCAGCCACAGCAGCACGAGAAAAAATTTACGGGTAGTTGAAGCTTAATTGAGCAGAACAGGGACACTGTAAGCTGCAGGTTTATGGAGCATGGAGCGAGAGAAATCACTGAAAGCACTGAGGTCTTCCCACATGCACTCGCCGGGCCCCATCCAATATGCCCCTGAGCTTCGGCGATGGTAGGGGTCCTTGTAAGCTGGAGGAGGACACTGCACGACTCTCCCATCCCCCAAATCTCCCCCTCACCCCGCATTTCCCCTTCTTTCCGCTCTCCCCGAGCTCCCCCATGTCCGCATCCCTCCAACCCGGACGCACCTGCATAGTGTCGGTACGCGACAGGCAGACCAGTCCGTCTTTGCTACAGCTCAGTACGAGCGTATTGCCCAGAAGTACTACATCCCGAACCCACTCGCTGTGCCGCATGACGGCCTGCAGCTGCGGCGGCGGTACTTTTGACGTGGCTGCTTCAGCTTTACAGCCCTCGCCGGCTGCTGCTGCTGCTGCTGCTGCTGCTGTCACTGCCGCCGCTGCTGCAGGCGCAGCCAGTTCGGCTGGGCGGCTCCGAAGCCAGGGCGAGCACGGGGACTGCTGCTGGCGACGACGATGCAGATCGCCTGCAAGCCGTACGGCAGGCCTGCCCGCCGCAAGGTTTTCCAACGCTGCCACCGCTGCCGCGCCGTCAAAGCCCCGGCGGCGGAAACGGCGACGGAACGAAAGGCTACAGTCCTCGTTGTCACTGCTACTGCTCCCGCTGGCACTAGTGTCGCTGCCGCCAGAGCCACTGCCGCGTCGGCTGCATTCGTACGGCGTGTTGTCCAGGCCAGGACGGCGCCGGGGACGTAGCCAGCATGGCCACCGAGGGCCCGGCGGAATTCGGACTGTAGACGAGCCTGAGCCAGCTGTAGAGTTTAAAGGAGCAGCCACAGTAGCAGTAGCAGTAGTCGCAGTAGCAGCAGTAGCAATATCAGAAGACCAGCCTGCCGTGGCTGCCGCTGTTGGCTGGGCTTTTGGATGTGAAAAAGCTGAAACAGAGCCCCGAAACCAAGGAATAGGCCCCTGTGTGCTCCACAAGTATACACTGCCCTGTCAGGTTTGGGTGGAGTTTGATGGATTGGAGCCGCGATTATGCACTAAGCTCAGTAAGCACTAGTAAACACTGTAACAAGCACTGCTGTATGTTTGTTACCTTCCTTAAAAGAGAATTAGTCGGCGGATGCGGATCAGTCCTCACCTCCAGGTCTCCGGCCACTAAAGTGTGGCCATGCATGGACACGCATGTACAGGCGCTGCCGTGCTCGTCCAGTTTATGCCGTACTGCCCCAGCCCGCAAGTCCCACACGTAGATGCAACCGTTGGCGCACGCCGCCGCCAGCGCATCGCCGTACACCGACACGCCGTACACCGCACCGGGCGGCGGCTCCTGCAGCCCCACCAGCATCTGCTGTGCGGGTCCGGACTGCCGTACGTCGTACAAACAGAGCCGGCCGATGGAAGTGCCGCACACGACGGCCATGGGGCTGGGCGCCGACGCCGCTGCCCCGGGGGATGCCGTACCTGTTGCCCCATACACACTGCCCCCCATGGTTTCGAAGCGGCCTCCCGTGCTGGAGCCGTTGGCAGCAGTGCCGTCGCTGCCGCCATCCGCCGCGTACTGCCCCGCTGCAGCAGCAGCGGCCGGCAGCGGCGGCGGCGGAAGCACACAACCCATAGGCGCTGGGGGAGACGGGTGGGGTCGCCAAACTGCCACTGCATTAACCCATTGACGCCCGCCTGCTCATGAATACACACACATGCGCACGCGTGTTAAAAAATAATATACATACCCGTCAAACTGATTTCCGGGACGCGAAGGAGTAAGGTACGGGGGGTTAAGGTTGGGAGTTGGTTGTTGGAAGTACGGCAAGATACCGTTGTGCCACAAAACCCCTATGCACAATAAAAGACAGTACCCAAAACTATAGATTATATCTGCGCTGCTACAGCCGGCCGACACCGACAAACAATCCTTCCGTGCCGGTGACCTCTGCCCAATCCAGTACGTGATCATGTACTTAGTTACTCCTGTTTCACGACTGCCGTACAGCACTCACCCTCTACAGTGTAGGTGCGCACGCAGGCCCCTGTTGTGAGATTCCAGCAGCGGATGGTACCGTCCCTGGAGCCCGAGAACGCCCTGCTGCAGCCACCAGCCGTACAGCTGTCAAGCCCATCGTACGCCAGCCGTACGGACGACACCGGGCCCGTGTGGCCGCGCAGGTAGTGCACCCAAGTACCGGGCCGGGCGCGATCCCAGTACTGCGGTACGGGGAGGGGGTTAATGTACGGCAATCAGTTGTACGATGTCGATTTCAGTTTCACAATGGCTCCTCACACACAGGCACGCCGTTCCTTGACTCATGCATACACATCCACACGCAGAGACACACACGCGCATGAGTTATAAGGGGTCATGTTGCCCTCCTATTGCTCGCGGAGTACCCTGTCACGATGAACCGCATAATTCGGTAGCGGGGGACAGGAAAAGACACAAAAGGAAAGGACCAGACAATCTCGCCGGCGCTTTCAAACAAACACTCTCTCTCTCACACACACACACACTTTCTCTCTCAAACATACACACACACGCTTACAAAACCCTCCAATCATTGCATCTTCATTGCTATTTCATTTACCACGAGACTCACACATCACAAGGTACTCGGTGCACTAGAGGAGCACACGATATATACCAGTACACAAACGCACGTGATGAAAACCATTGACATTTGCATGACTGACTACTAGGCTTATCTACTCCTCGCACCGCTTTCTCGTGTACGACGATCTTTTTATCGGCACCTCCGCAATCCCATCACCACCACTACCAACAACCCACACCGTTGAGGCCTACAGGCCAAACAGGCGGTCTTTCTCTTCAACCCCGCCACAACTCAGTGTTTTAGGGTTTTAGGGTTTAACCACCACTTAATCATTTGGACGTCGCCAGCTTTACGTCCCTTTACACTCTCTTTGCAAAATGTAGGTCCATCCCTGCAGACTAAAGAACCAAAGACGATTGTACTCCTGCAAACGCCAAATGTCGGCAACTCCTTTACTGGGGGAAAGGCAAAGGTTCCGTTAAGACGGACAACTTCGTAAATGCTTTGGACTTGCAGCTGGTGCTTTGCAATAAGTGTTTTTCCAACACACACCCAACCCTGGCTTCACCTGCCTTGACGTCCGCGTCCAATGACCCAGACAGTATATGCGAGGGACATATGTCCAGGGAGGTCAGCCAGCGTTCATGAGCTGCAGGCACCACCACAGGCGCCGTGCTCTCCCGGCCGCCCAGCCAGGCCCTCAGACTGCGCACATACACACCGTAGCTGCTTCGCCAGGAGTGGTGGCGGAGTAGCGGGAGGCCTGAGCTTGGGTTGCAGGGAGGTAGGGGGGTCATGTGCCGCACAAGTCACAAAAAACACCGATGGATGACGCCCAAAGCGCCAAGGAGCCGCCAGAGTTCAAATCAAGGTAATAGTACAACTGAATGAAACTTACGGACAGTGCGGGGAAGAAATTATCGGGGTTTGAATAAATGGAGGGAAGAGACGGGGTGCTATGGGCTTGGGTCAGGAGGTTCTGATGTGTGACTTCTTAGAGGACGCGGAACATCTTGTTGATTGGCTGTATCCCTGGATAATCGTTATGTGAAGGAGAGGTGTAGGAGAGGGCAGGGTGGATGCATGGGATGCGGTGCTTGGCGGCGTCTCTCCACAATAGCAGTTTCAAGCCCTTAATCCGCTTGTGCTCTTTGTGCGAGACCCATCCCAAGCCCAGGTGCAGGCGAATGTCCCTGGTGAACCCGTAATACCCCCCTGGGCTGGTCCGCTGACCGATGGAACCCGGCACGCACCCAACTCTACATGCATACAAGTTAGTCGTGTCCTTAAAGTTCGGTTGCTCACAATGCCAGCCGCGCCACAGCATATCATTAAGTAAGTCATTTCTCCAGGATCTGCAAGTTGATGATAACAAAGCTGCTGCTTGTGGACCTCCATGACGAGCGATGTTCTCAAGGCATTCTGTCGGAAGTGCCGGCCAAGGCCGGCCTTCTCCGGTGTCCATGTCCAACAGTTAAGAGCCCTTTGTTTATTGACGTTACAGCAGAATGGACGCGTCTGTACGTAACGCTACTAACAAACGATGCTGCTGCTTTTCTTGCCCGAATATAGTTGATATTGCTTGATTTGCCCAATCAACCCCTCCTAATTTAAGATAACGGATGTGTCACAAGTGCAAGTCGCTTCATGTAACAAGTGGAATTCACGACAAAACGCTGTACAAAAAACTGCGTTTGAGCCTATCTTTTGCTGAGACTTGGGAAACCCGCTTGTCAAAGCGTTCTCGTTCATGCGCGAAAGACACACTGCTGCTGCATTAAGAGCTTTCGTTGACATCTGGTCCAGGTGGATACCTGGGTACGACGAATCCGCAGCACGCACCCGTGCGTGTTCATCTTTCAGTTCCAGCTTACCAGGACAATTGTGCTTTGGTTCAAAATTTGGAATTCTCTTGAACGTTCTCGTTTCGTATTACAATATAGCTGGGGTTACCACTCTCCTGCCAGTAACGCCAGTGATAACCATAGCACCAGAATAATTTCGTTCAAAATGACACCCGATCATGCGTAACATCAAGTCAATCCACTTGCCTTGCGGTTTATGGCCGAAGGCCCAGCGGCGAAACCCGGATACGACTTTTCAACAATGACGCGAACCAACATACTTCTCTCTGGCCACTCGAACATTAGCAAAAAAGAAAATCCTTTAACACTTTAAAATCTTTTGTACCATCCAAACCAGGCAAAACGCTCAGTGCGGCGGTACAAATGTCACGATTTGTTGTTCCGAGGAAAGCTGCAGAGCGCAATGGATACCAAACCTTCACTGCGAAACAACCCCAACGCTAAGTAGCCGCTAGCCAAAATTTTGGAGCTTGCCTTCGAGGCTGTCGCTCGTACAGCTCCGCACTCCGCACCATGCGAGGAAGATGACGCCTTGCCAAGAATCAAAAAGTCCCCATCGAGGGCAGCATGGCTCTCGACCGAAAATGTCGGGATTACGATTTCTCATTAATCCTAACATCCTTTGACGCGGCGCCTCCGGACTTGTGCTTGTTTACCGGCGAGAGTACTCCTCCGGCAGCGACGAGCCCTCACGGCCAGCCAGCTCGGCACCTAATCGCAAATGGGTTGAAATGGTGGACAAAGGTCAGGGGAAGGGTAGCAAGTACAGCTTAGGCAAAACACAAGGTAAAAAGTACACCCGCAGTCTGTAAGCTAATTTACCAAGAAATGGTGACACCTCAGAACCCCGGCTTACCAGACAGGTAGGCATCGGCCAGCTGCACGCGCTTGACGTTCTCCTGCTCGTCAACCAGGGCGCGGCCGTACTTCAGCAGCACGTCCAGCGACATCGACACCTTAGGGAACGACACCTTCTGCCTGCCGTTGACCAGCTTGCTGCCGATGCCCTCAATGCCGACCTCGGCAATCCACTTGCGCACCTGTCGAGCAAATCATACGCAGGTACTGTATAAGAGACAGAAAACCGAAAAACTGGGGAACAAATAGCACAAACTTAGGCTAGTAATTGAAACCCCATCAACGTAGCTTTGTTATGCCAAGCTCAAAACTGTCGACAAACGCCATAACATGGACAGTCAAGCGCAGCCACGAAGCAGTGAGCAAGAAGAGTTCAGAAATTTTAGCACACAAACGTACACACCATGTCATCGTAGACGCGAGCGCGGAGGGCGCCGAAGAAATCAATGGATTGGCCAGGGAAGGTGTCGACCAGGCGCTCAACGTCGCCACGGCTGACGTTGTCCTCCTGGAAGATGCCCATGCACACACCAATGCGGTCCTCGCGGGTGGGGTTCCAGTAGTACCTGAGGGTTGTGTGTCCAGACGAGGTGGCACATGTGAAGCGTTGTGTAAAAATGATTACGTCGACCTATCCTCCAAGCCACCCATTCCACATTCAGCATGCAACGTTACTCAATGCACCCTAGACAGGTATCAAGCGTTGAACTCGATCAATTTCACCCCAGCATAAACCTAATCGCGTAATCACACGACACATGATTTTTCGAGAAAGCTCGGGATCATCGACATCTTCAGGCCAACCCAACCCTGCTGACCCAAATCAAAAATTGGCACACTCACTTCTCCATACGGCCATCACGAATGAGGGGAGCGTACAGGGTCGAGAAGTCGTTACCCGTGCAGACGATTGGCACGCGGGGGATCTCCTCGTTCTTGTAGACACCCGGCAGCTGCACGTTGGTCGGGTTATCGGCAATGTTCATCAGCGTTGCGTTGACCATCTGGTTGTTGACGGTGTACTGGGTGGTGTCACCCATACGGCCAGCACCAGCATCCAGATCGTTGATGAACAGGGAGCACATCTTGCCCTTCTTGATGATGTCGGACGCCTGCTCACAAAGGAAAGCAGTTGTGTGCATGTTACCAAGGCTCACTGCCGACGTCAAAGCGATTGGAACAAGCGTCTTATGCCTAGAGGACCACACGAATGGAGAAAAGTAAATATCGCTTCAGCACATGCGATAGGAAAAGGGTCTTTATTCTTTGGATAACTGAGAAGCCACGGGCCAGGAAGTGATCTACGACTTTAAATCCAGGGGACGAACCCACTTGTCAGTGGACATCAAGTCCGATTTTAAGGATGTTCCTTAAAATGTCAAGAAGGTAACTTCTTCTTGACAGAACAGGTAACATTGTCTTGACGAGGCAAAACCCTCCAACACACTAATGCTTCGGTTCATTCAAGGGCAGGACCTGTCCAACGCTTCCCACTCAGTACATATCCCATGGCGCGCATGATGGAGATCCCGTTTCAGATGTTGGCCCCAGTTTCGTAACGGAAGCAGGCTCGACCCCAGAGATTCAACTCACCTCCCGGTAGCGGGTGCGGATCAGCTTGGCAGGCTCACCAGCATTGCCGGACTCGAGCTCACCAGCCGACATGACAATGGGTGAGATGCCGAGCTTCTTGTACGCCAGAGCGCACTACAACAATGAACGGCAAGGACGAAAAGACACCAGTACGGCAAGGCAAGTATGCAACTGGACCCGTACGGTATCACAGCGAGTGCAGCACACGGAAAGGGGTCCTCTCCTTAACCCTAATCACGGCACAGTTCCGTTCCATTCCTTCCGAGCGTTTTTACGCAGGTCCAAGACAATGCTGGGGTGGTTTGATCTTAGCCGCACGAGATCAAGGTATTGTGTATCACCGTCCGTGGATGAATATGAAATCTCCCACTTAATTACCCGCTCCTCCACCTGACACAATTGACACTCCAGCTAAACCAACACGGCTACGGGAACTAAGCAAGGCAAGGCGTACCTGGAAAGTCTTGCCCTGACCCTTGCCACCCCAGATGCCGAGAATGAGTGGGACTTTAATCTTCGGCAGATCCATGAAGTTCTTAGCAATGTGGATGGTCATCTTGTCAAGGAAAGCCGGTGAGATGTAGAAACCATCCTCAATGTTGTTGAACGAGGCGCGGGCCTGGCTCAGGTACTCGGTGGACGACAGCACGGCGTTGTGCGTGCCACCGGCGCCGAAGCCACCCTGGAAGAGGTCGTCGACCATCTGGCGACCGCGGGTGATGTCTTGCTGTCGGGACAAAAGGAGAGAACGCAAGAAAATGTGGCGAACAAAGCGGAGTACATGGGAAAAGGCAAGGGTAATAGCACAAATCCCTGGCATGACCAAGCATGGAGGATAATAGTCTGTGCCGGCATAGGTCTTAGTACACCATTCATAAGACTTGCATCGAAGGCCATGGCTTCCCCATATCATGACTTTGCAGGCTCAATCCAGGTTAACGGAATCTGTGGGTGCCAAAAAAATAAACCTGTATATAACACAAAGCTTTTAGAAAACAGGTAGACACGCACCTGGTCGTCCGAGGTGTCAACATCGGCGTCGATATTGCGCCAGCGACCAACCTGAGAGCGGCTAGCAGCTACAACCTGAAGCTGAGCCTGCACCCAGATTAAAGGATGCCAATATGAAACCACGCATGAAGCGTTGAAGCCATGGTAAAGCCATGCAATTGCGAGTTCGTGCAAGCATCCTTCAAGTCGGCAACCTTACCCTGCGCACGCTACGTGCGGCGACGCGGGCGCTGCCCACGCGCTGGCCAGAGATGGCGCTGCAATGCGAGTCGCCAGGGGAGTTCGATCGTCGTCAGGACTTGACCATGCTTGTGTCAGCAACACGGGATGAAACGCAGCAATACAAATTCGCCCAGAGATCCTAATGACATACCTGCCCTTCATGGTGGTCTGCGGGCAGCAGATGCAGCGGGATGTGTCTGAGAACCAGACGTCGGCGATCGATTGTGCAGTCTAACAACCACTAAACAAGCATAAGCTTACCTGCATTTTCTTCAACGGAGACACAGCTGGGTCTAACGTTGAATCAAGATGCAAGAAAGTGCTTGGACATGGGACAAGGGAGCCAATAGTAGAATTTCAGCCCCTCGTCAGTGTCGTACTGCACGGCAAATTCACGAGGATTATCCTTATCCAGCACAAGCACTTGTCAAATGCATTTATGTGGTCTTCATCATTTCCTACTTATTAACTGTTTCCCAAGTGTGGCTTGCAGTATGGGCTCTCATACGTGCTTCTAAATTGTAACGAAAGAGGGTTTGTGACCCACATGGGTTCAGTGGGAACTTCCATGTTATCCATCATTGTTGCCTTTTATGGTTTTATAACCGGTTTGGGCTTTGCGTTGCGTTTCGCCTCTGAGGACACAAGTTCCCAATGTCGTCTGCACTTGGCGAAGGCTCTTAACCTTGCAATGCGGTTGTAGATCTCCCTGATCCAAATTTTATTTGCTTGGATTTGCTTTCTTCTCAAATTACCTCTGCAGCTGTTCCCACGGGACACTCCGCATCAGTCGCGACCTCTCTGCACGTTGGATCCATCCAGCCATGGCAAAATTTCCTCTTGCATGATGCATTCGACTGCAGACGCGGGTGTGGGGCAAGAGCCGTTAATCGGGCACTTTGCCAACGAACCCCTTAGACATTCCTCAGTTATGTCCTATAGCCTTCATGGCTTGCTGTACGGTTGCGTTCGGGGTGTCGGATAGGACAGGGCGAGGCGAAACCGGGGCTGCCAAGGGCCTTACACTACTGCAGAGTACTAATTGCTGCTCTCGGAGCGCCAGGGCGCGTGTGCGCCGAAGCGCGGTCTAGCGCCACACGGCGCGGTCTGAGCGCGCGCAGCGCTGTCCAGCGCGGCCACACCGGCACGGCCGAAAGAACTGACGCACAGCACTAGACAACTAAACGCAGCATTAATGACTGCGTCCACTGGTCACCCGCCCCGAGGGCAAACCTGAAGCGTCAGCGACGCACGAACCACACCCTGGCCAGCGGGGCTGGCCAGGCGACATTCCTAGCGCGCGACGATACTCTATAGGCACTTATTTGCCGTGCGGTAATCGCTGTACAGCTGCACGTCCGGCGCTCCGAGGGGACTGCCTAATCACCGGTCTCCAACTGGGCCGAGCCTGCCGCTTATAAACGAGGGACACTGAGGGCGGGGGGGGGGAAGTGAGAGCAACAATAATAATAAGCTCCAATAGTGTAGGCAGAATGCCGGAACTATGGAGCTGTCAGCTGAAATAGTAAATTCGAATTCTCAGCAAGCCATACGGCTGCCGTACATAACCTAGCTTAGAGGCTATACTCGCTTTGCTCCTGCCGCATCTAAGCTACAAT